GAGAGAGAGAGAGAAGGCATTTTTGATAAGGCATGTGAGTTACACTTTTTCCCTTAGGAATTGCGTTTTCTCTTTAACTTCTTTATATAGGAATATCCAATGAGTGAGTCCTATAGAAAAAAAAGAGAGTAATACTTCCTAGTTTGAATAATACTCTCTCTAACAAATTCTATCCCAAAATAAAAATCCTTATCTTTTGCCTTTCTTTTCTCACTACCATTACCAAATTTTGTAATAATGATGCAAATAAAAAATTTATGGTTTTTAATTTTTTATTTTTATATTTTTATTGTAGAGATTTGGTTTAGGTTTAGTGGATTTAGGATTTTTAGTACATGATGAGTTGGCTTATCTTGTGGTGAATGAACTAACTTATCTTTCAAGATGATAAGTAGAAGTTATGTTTTAAGTAGAAGTTATTTTTTATTATCTTTTTAGAAAGAAAAGATAACATGAGATTTAGAAAGATAGATGGAGATAGACATGACATGGGAGGGAGATAGAGATTATGTGGGGGGAAATAGAGGAAAGTACGTGACTTAGAGAGAAAATATGGAGTTGAAGAGAGAGAGAAAATAGGGGCTTGGGAAAAACATGTGAAACAATCGTATAAGTTGGAGAGAGAATTTTATGGGTTTTTTATTTCTTATTTTGTATATAAAGGGAAGAGTCCCTCATTGTAAAGGGCAGTGAATGAGAATTGAATAAAATTTGGTCTTGTGAAGATATCGTTCTTGGTGTGGATTCTCTTGCAGACCTTGAGAGAGGTATATTCTCTCAACTTTTTCTTTTTTTATTTTTATTGTTCCCACGTTATTTTCTCCCTGCATCACTTGGTATCAGAGAAAGTAAGACCTAGAGATCCATTTATTTTATTTTATTTTATTTATTTTATTTTATTTTGTTATTTTTATTTTTTTGCAAAACCACCAAAAGCTAATCCTACTCATGTTATGGACGATCGTTGGGGACAGGCTATAGAAAATTTGACTAAAGCCTTAGAGGATGTTTGAACCGAAGTACATGAAATGAATTAGGGGATGTAATGGTTGGAGAACAATGTTCTTCGTGAAGAAGATGCTCGCAGCCACATTGATCTTGCACTAGTAATTCTACTACAAACCCAGGGTGTTGATTTCGAGTGTAATAATTCTGGTATTAAAATCAATCTCCCAAAATTTCATGGTCAAGGGTGTTCATCGATTGCATATGGTGCTTCTTTGGAGCTAGATCCATTCCTAGTTAGGAATAATCAGCCCAAGCTCGTATTCAACAATTACTCTTGGAACACAGTCGCATGCAAAGAGTCTTACATCAGTTTTGAAGAAATTGAAAAAAAAATACCGAGGCTCATGGTGGGACTTCATCACCAACTTTTAAGAAGGCCCCTAAAAGATTTGAGTTTGATAAGCTCGAGGTCGAGCTTCTCCCTACCAACTGATGCAGAACAATAAAAATAAAAAAATAAAAAGTTGAGAGAATATACCTCTCTCAAGGTCTGCAAAGGAATCCACCCAAAAAACGATATCTTCACAAGAAAAATTTTATTCAATTCTTATTCACTGCCCTTTAGAATGAGGGACTCTTCCCTTTAAATACAAAATAAGAAACCCATAAAATTTTCTCTCTAACTTATACGATTTTCCTACACGTTTTTCCTAAGCCCCAATTTTCTCTCTTCATCTCCCTATTTTCTCTCTAAGTCATGTACTTCCCTCTATTTCCTCCCGTGTAATCTCTATCTCCCCCCCATGTCATCTCTATCTCCATCTATCTCTTTAAATCTCATGTTATCTTTTCTTTCTAAAAAGATAATAAAAGATAACTTCTATTTAAAAGATAACTTCTACTTATCATCTTGAAAGATAAGCTATTTCCTTAACCAAAAGATAAGCTAACTTACGCCCACCAACTCATGCGCTAAAAATCCTAAATCCACTAAACCTAACCAAATCTCTACAATAAAAATATAAAAATAGAAAATAAAAAAACCCTAATTTTTTTATATGCATCAAATAATATGGATGTCGTTATCTTTCTATTAACCACTAAGCTCTAAGGATATTGAAGATACCATTGAGATCCCCACACACAAGAGCCAGACTCTTAATCCAACATGTCCCATCGTCTTACAATCATAAAGATGTTTGTCCTTATAATCACTTGGGGATACATCCAATACAAGAAGTCAATAACTCTCCCATACTTTATTACGAAATGCATTGTTAGATCTTAACGAGCATTGCATCTTTCTAGGAAGAATCATATTACTTTTTCATTAAACTAACGTAGAACACCTCTTCTCTCATCGAAAATGCTCCAGCTTGCCTTAGAATATGGTTACACGGGGTTAAAAGGTTGGGATTTCTATTTTAGGGATAAAGTTTGTTAGAGAGAATATTATTCAAACTAGGAAAGGTTACTCATTTTTTAGAAATGATTATCTCATTCAACATTCCTATATGATGATGTTAAAGGCGAGATTGGGGGAGGGGGAATACTTCCTATGGGAAAAAGTGAATTCATGTGCCTCTCCAAAAAGGCCTACTCTCTCTAACTTAACGTTCTTTTTTCTTTTTTTCTCTTTCTAGAGACCCCTAAGAAAGAAAAACCCATAGGCAATTTAAGAGCTTTTGATCTTTTTAAAGCTTGGGATTTGCATTGAGAAATTGTAGTAATGGTTCTAGAAATCTTGAGACTGACTTGTGGATGCTAGCATCAAACTGTCTACCCAAAGCAGCTGGGGTGCATGGAAGGTATGGGAGATACAAACCAATTTCAAAACGGCGATCAGATTCAGATTTGAAAAAGGTATGTAACCTCTATCATATCCTTGTGATTTTGTGTATGTTTTTTATGTTTTTTTGCGTAGCAACTCACCCAACAAGTCCAAAATTTGTATCAGAGCCCCTTAATAGAGGTTCCCTCTTGAATCGGATGGCCCGTGTGGTTAGTTGATAGTTCATAAACACAAATAAATAAATAAATTGTTCGTAGCTGCTTGCATATGTGCAATGCTGACATTCAATATACATGCAGATCCCGCATGCACTAGGTTGTGTTTGCGTGTGGTGTTTAAGGGCACGTGTGGGCACGTGTTGGGCACCTTGCACACGCGGTGGTCATTCATAGAGCTGCACTGAACAAGCGCCTAACCGCTAGTTCACACACACTAAAAAAAAAAAGAGAAACAAAAAGATGGGAGGTAAAATCGCACTACACACGGGCTGTTGTGAAGGATTACTGCACATAGGTGAATGCGCTAGATTACCATGAGCAAGTGGTCATGCGAGACGAACACCTCAAGTAGTCAGGCATGACCACTGCTCTAAGGTGGTCTTTTAGGACCACAAAGCGCAGTGATCTAGCATGTTTGAACATATTAAAAATAAATAGATTGCACATGTGAGCTTGCCACAAGTGTTTACTTGCACGTTCAACCACATGTGCGACATGCACACACGTGGGGATAGAGACCAATGTTGTATGCGCATATGTGCGGCGACTTTGACAACAGACCCAAATAGGCATCACTTGTGTGGTGCTACAGCATTAAGTGCTGGAGCAGGTCCATTATCTGTTGTGCAGTCTTGCAGATACTAGATGCAACCTCAGCCTTATATAGTTTCTTGCCTCAAAAAGAGCAAATTTAGGCCCAACTTTCAGCATGAAACCCTTAAGGAAGGGAACACATCCTGAGTTAGTTACTAGATGGAAGCTTATCAGACTTTGATTGAGGATGATCATCATGCAAACTTCTCTTTGTATAGTAGTATGCATAATGACCAAACTGGTTAGTCTAG